CATATAAGGTGATCATAATACAAATGTCTGATTGACCGATAAAGGCAGAGTTAGTCAGTCTTAGCTCACAATTTTCATCTTAATCTGCCCACCTCTCTAACGTTGTCCAACTGACCTTTATCCTTTCACCGCCACCCACGACTATTACTGCAGCCCTGTCATATTCGTTTGCTCTGTTTGCTCGCCTCTGGCATCGTTACTAACTGAGCTGTAATCGGTCAATCAGACATTTGTATTATGATCACCTTATATGTGTAAACGCCGGATGCGATAAATCGAATAGAAATTTCTTCGCCAGTGTCGTTTTCCACATAACGTCTGTCGATAACTCAACCCACTTCCAGTAATCAAGCGGTCACACATAACCCACCGGATCATCAATTGCAAAACACATCATGACAACCAAACGCAATCGATCCCGCTTCCTCTTTCAAATCGTTGTTACGTACCTGCAATGCATAGCTGTTGGCAATAAGTGAGGCGTTGCTAATCGGATTACATCATCCTGTTCTGTGCGCCCAAAAGTTGTTGATCCAATCAGTTCACTTGCCGTGGAGTTGACCTGTATTTTTTAGTTCTGTCTGTCTGTACATGTCTGTTCACTAGGATTTACAAATCAAATGTGCTTGTTTGTTTTACGTGAGCGATTGAAAAGATTAGACTGAATGTTAATGAAAATTTTACTTTATCAATCACACTAATTCAGATAGATGTGCTATTACGACCCCTACGTGTATCTGTTAATTTCAATGTGCTTGCGAGTATAGGCTGTTCGACAGGATACAAATTTGTCTTTCAACCAGAATAGGGGTAAACGTGTTCCAAAAACCCCCCGTCGTCCCCCGGGAAATTACCATTAAGTGAATTTGCATGACATTTGCTACACTCCAGTAATCAACTCAACACAACAAAGGCGTTGGGAATATTTGGAAAACCCAGGGTTCACGGATTCATTTATCGCTTGAAACAGCAATTTTTGTTCAAAGAAAAATGTTTGTAATACAACTGTTTTGCCAGAGTAGTGGTTATGTAACACCGGACTCAACCCTACCATGTAGTAACATGTTAGTTCCCCTTCATCACCGTTGTGGTCTGAAATTGACTGAGACGTTCGTCGTGTTGGTCTGTGGCCGGATTGATTGGTTGATCGATTGAGTGACTGATGCTATCAGCTAGCACACACACATGTACTCACGGACCGACTGTATTACGATATCGATCGACTCCAACCAATTGGATATTAGTATTGAACTATCCTCGCTGGTTGATTCGTTGACTGACTAAGTGCCTATATGACGGCACACGGATGTCGTCTGACACCTGGCCAGTGTTGGCCTGTCTGTCTACCTGCCTTCCTACGTGTCGCCCACTTCTGCTTGCTCACCGGTTTATGGACCGGCCACATGTGCACCCTCTACAGTAAACGTACTGCTTAATTCTCTGCATGCTTATTTACCTACTTAAACAGGGATATAACAACCATCAATCGTATTCACTACCTTGTTTTAAACAGTCCCTTTTCCTAACTTGTCATCAAATTTTGCCACCTGGTTTGACCCTATCCGTAACACTTCTATCATCCTGCTTTAATGATCCCATTCAAATCGTATGATTAGCTGTTTGATGTGGTGTTCGTTTGCAGTTAAATGAAAGCACGCGAAACCAATGGCCATTATCGACTCTGCCTACAGGTGTTCTCACGTTAACCAAATACTCGATAACTTTTTACGATAAAAAAGATATATATTATGCCATAGCTTATCACCTTTAGTGGGGTTCAAAAGGGCTGCCCTAAATCGTTCCTTTTCATTTACGTCCTAGATGTCCCACAGAACACTTATGTTATTACAATGAGTAGTATATGAATGACTGGACAAAATTTTTGCACTGCATAACACTTATGTTGTTTAACATTGACTGGAATATCATTCCTTTTGGTGAACTAAACTAACCACGATATTTATTTGCTTGGTAAAAGTACGCAAGAAACGCAAATCGTGTTGAACCTCTTAGTTATCAAGGTAGCCCGTTCGGCACGATATGTGACAGCGCGAAACCAAGTACAAAGCCGATTTCTCAAACCGGCAGGACTCTACACCGGTAACCACCATTGTTGGCGATAAATGAAATATATCCTAAATCTCTTCTTGCCAGGACATTGCATCAAAACTATGACGACCACCAAGACACAGAAAGAATGCTGGTTCACCGACCGCCGTAGCAATCGTGGTTCGCTTCTGGTATTGTAGTGTATCAGGGCAGATCTAATCAGCTAATGGGGCAGCATCTTGTGCATATTCGAGAGTGTACTGTGCTTTCCGAAATATGACAGCACTGACTGATAGAAAACTGAGTGGGAATTTCATTAACTGACTCTATGTTCAAAGGTAACAGTGGGATTAGAAGCCAAAGATGTTATACGAGTTCCCTCATTTTCTGTTTTTAAGATAGACTGATAAATAGAAGGACTTTGTCAACAAACAACAGAAATATACCAAACACCGGTATGTGCAGTAGAATCATACTGTAAACGGGAGGTAGACCAATGTCGTTTAAAACAGATGGGCCTCAAAGAACGAAAATGTTAGGACAAAGATAAAGACAAACTGCTATTGACAGTAATGGAGAAAATTACCCTGGAAGTAGGTCGACTTGGTATTCCTGGTGTTTCAGTCAGTTTCTTCTCCGAAGAGTGTTGATCCTCGTTTGGTGACGGTTTAACTGTGCCATTGCCCACATGTCCATTTTGTAGAATCTCGCCGTTTGTTGAATCCGTAATGTCCACGTGCAGGGGACTCCTTTGAGATCCGTCTGTCTTACGTGATGACTGACTGGTGGGGAGGTCAGTGGCCGGTTTCGCATCGGGGACATCAGCCTTAGCAGAGGAATTGAGAGCGGACCGATCGGGGATTGGAAGGCTCTTCAATTTCTCTGTTCGTGTGTGGTTTAAATTACCCGAGGATAAAGAAGTACGCCCGTAGCCAGAATAGCCGAAAGCGGCGACCGAAACGCTCACATAGCTCGGGGTATCTGTGGCAAAATGGGCAAGTAAAAGACCGAATATCATATCCATGGTCTTTATAAGATTGGAAACTGTGAGTGTGTATGTCAGCCGAGAAGCAAATTGGCCTTAATCCTGACTAACACGAAGAGCATTCGGGGTGTGAAGTTATGCGGCGTGCAGTGAGTGCCAGCATGAGCAAATATATAGATCTTCTTAGAGTTTATAGATCTTCTGTCCAAACGCAATATTGACAATGGAAATGCTCAGTGCACCGATCGCAAAAAAGCAATTACAACTGTCGTATGAGCTTTTGTGACCAATACCCAACTGCATTGTAATTGTATGTATGTATGTCGATAGCACAACCGAATCCAGCGATCGACAAACAGGAATCGCCTTTTTTGTGAAAAAAGAGGAAAAAACTTTTGAAACGACGTGTGAGTTGACAGATGTATGCGTAAAGAACGTGGTATATCGGAAATGCTGTCAGAAGCAAAAACGGATGATTAGAGATCGTGAAGCACTACCGATAATAAGCCAAGAGGAAAAAGAACAGTCATTTAAACGGAAAAACAAGTTAACCCAGTAATGTCGGTTGAGACGATGCATAAATAATATAGCGTATCTATGCAGAGTAAACAGAAAACGGTGAAAACAAGTGAAAATCTCAGAATACATCAGCTGCATGATGCGTTGCGCAGTATCAGAGCAAAGAGAACGGGAAACCAAAAGCAGGGAAGAGCTGTACAAGTGTTTCGATTTGGTCCGATCCCATCAACAGTGCAAGTCCATCAATCCAAATAACTATTTAACTCCGGACCTCACAGGTGCAAAGCAAGCATAATATCCAAAAAAAACAGGAACAGTCGTTGTCAATTGTGCAGGATAACCCCGAATTCCAAATTTCTGAACACAAACATCTTCGTTGGTGACTGGTTAAACACTAAACTAATCCCAGCAAACAATTGTGTGGTACACAACTTGAGTTTCTTCACGCAAGGCTATCAATTCTCATCTTAAGCTCCATAAACTTTCGTCGGTAGGCAGCATCACAGCCAGCCGACGCAATACCACACCTATTCAAGTCTAACTTCAATTACTACTCCAATCCCCCACCGGTTGCAACAAACGAAATTTAGATTTTTTATGGGGGTCATTTCGTCTATTGCTTATCACACTCGGGAAAAAAAACTAAGCCGTAGATCTCTGAGTGTATGAGAGATGAAGGATTTCAGATTTATATGTGCGTGAATACAATTACGTTATTTGATTAGGTGTCACACCCGAAGTTCACACGCAGGGATCAAATGAAGCGAGATGTACACAATGACGAACAGAACAGACAATTCTACTTTCCAGCGAGAAACAAAACCTTCATGGTTCGGAGATTAACGGTTCACATGTGAAAAGCTGAAATAACTCTCAACTCGATTGTGAGGTGCTAATGCAGCTTAGTTAGTGGCAGAAAAGGACTGATATAACGAGGTACAGGGTTAACGAAGAACCATAAAAGCGAACCTCGCAATCGGGGAACAATCACTTACAACCGATTGGTAACCTAGAAACAGCGAGGGCCGATCCCCTGTGAGTTCTGTGCAAGGCTGTGCCCTCACTTCCGCATACTTCTCGGGACAAAAATGATCCTCCACCGTTGATCGTTGGCTGACCATCCACGTGGGTGCTCCGGGTTATACTACTGTCTTGAAGCAAAGAATTTTGAGAGAAAGACACGGTAACCGGTGGACGGGAACGAGCGTCCTCATCGTTCGGTGGAAAAGGTAAAGTGAGAGCCTTGACTGAATATTCCAGACAATGGTGTGATGAATTCCCGACAGTTTGGAGGCAAAGAACACGGGGGGTGGAGAAAGCAAGGGAACTGCCGGAATGAGCCAAGCGAACAAACAAGTGTGGCATAGCGCGCGACAGAAAAATTGCAAAGCAAACCAGCTGTGTCACCGATATTGTGCGTGTGTGGTACGAGATAGAAAGTGAGACGGACGTTCTATGCAAGATAGTACGACCGTGGTGTGCAAAATAAGCACAGGGCATTTGCGTTATATGGCGTAAACCAAACAAAAAAACTAGGCACATCAGGAATCTCAAAAGCATCACACACACCATAAACAGATCAATCTTACCATACGAGGTATCGTGGCCTACAACGAGAATCAAAGTGAAAAGCACGCCGCTTATGGATTTTCTTGTAGAACTAAAACTCACAGATAATTCGTCCAATCCTCTTGGGCTTTGTACTCATGAAAATTACGTGGGATACAAGAGGGCTCAATATTCAAAGTCGAAGGAGACTAGCTAAATGTTATCTAAAATTGCAAACTGAAGGAGTGGATGATGGTTGGAACAATCTAGGCGGGATTGTAGCCGATTCACACGGAGATGCGATCTGCAGCGATTCCAGTCTCTATGTGCTGATGTAGTCTACCGCATCCGGTAACACTTGACATCCCTCAATTCGTCACCGAGTGATGCGACTGAGGTTCCTTTAGGATAAAAACGGAAGTGAAATTCCCCGCCTCTATTTCGGAAAGAAATTACCTACTAATTTTGTAAGTTCTCTGTATTTTACACGGAAGTAGCACAGAAGAGAAACAAAACAGTTCAAAACTTTGCATAAGCAACCAGCTTCAAACTATACCAACACCCAAAATAACCGTACAGCTGCTACAAATGCATCTTACAGAGTGTTCCACAACCGGATCGTCAATACATAGCAGAGAATGGATTTCGGGTAATAACGTCCGAGGATGTAAAACGAGAAGCAAGAAAGCTTTCGCATTAACTTCCAGAAACATTCGAATAATCTCGAATTATCACGAATGAACCTCTAAAAAAGTGGTGAATTGAATAACCCAGTTTCAGTTTCAGTTCAGTTTTTACGGCCATTATCCAGCAATTTTCGTGCACCGGTTTTGATTGCAGTCTTTTGGCCGCTCATTTGAATGAAAGAGCAGAATGTACTTTAGAATGCTGAGAGCAAATTCAAGCGAAAGATAGCGGAATTATATCGACTGCTGCTGCCAGAATAGATGCAGGAACACCACTGTTTGCGACACCCAGTCATATCATTCAGCGTTTCTGATCATCGGTGACCATGTTCTCGGGGTCCCCAGCCAGGAGCCTAACGGGACTTATGTGGCCTAGTCTCCTGGTTAGGGTTTTCATAACCTCATACCAGGTCTTCGTTCGAACACCCTCGACCCTTTTCCAAGCGCCACCTGCTTCGACAAACATCGCTCGCCGTGGCAACCTATTTCGTGATATGTGTAACACATGCCCCAACCAACGTAACCTATGCAGGTCGATTACTTGCTCCAGTGGACGACCGCGAATGCCTAAAACTCTACGCCTAACCTCAGCGGCGCTCACCCGGTTACTCCACCAGACTCGTGCAATGCGACGTAGACAGCGGTGTTCGAACACCGACAATCTATTTTTATCCTCGTCCAGTAGTGGCCAAGTCTCTGCACCATAGAGCAGTACTGAACGAAATGCTGCAGCATATAATTAACCCTTCGCAGGCAGCCGGATGTCGCAACGGCACCACAGATGTTTCAAGTTGGCAAATACCAACCGGGCCTTTTGTATGCGCACGGACCCTTGAACTGTGATGCGTCTGGAGAGATATAGCTGCCCAGATAGCTAAATTCGTCTACTTCCTCTACTACTTCCCCGGTCAGGGTGATAGATTCGGGGCTGGACCATAGCTTATTTCTCGAATAACCCCCATTTCAGATAAAGGACTGATGTCAACTTGCAGTATTTGCACAGTTGAAGCGGGTATAGGGAGGTCCGGTCTCGACAAAGGCCAGCTGATCTGTGCGTTAAAATGTCCAGCCCAACGTTCAAGACGGCGTTGATGAATATGCATCAATGTGTCGTCAAACTACTTAATTGCCTCACTTACGCCTACTCCGAATTATTCGGAAAAGATTGAGACTATTACCGATAGCCGCAGCCTTCTCCATCTCTCGACCCTTCCCTACCTACCACTTCTCGCAGTTATTCCTCAAACTCTTGATGAGTTGGCGTTTAAGGGATTTGCGCGCTTTGTCGTATTTTGAACCTCAGAGAACGGCTTTGCGAGCGTCCAGCAGGGCAACCGCAGACGGGGAGATCCATCGCTTTTTATTTGATCGTGCGCCAGAATCTGCCGTTGTTTTGATTGACGTTTGGATCGCTCTTTTGATTGCCGTCCAGTGTTCACTGAGTCCTCCGGCTGATGGTTGAGCTGAGAGACGATCTGATCGTTCCGCTTCGAAGGCCGATTTGCAACCATTGCTGAAAATGTATTGTGCGCATCCGTTTTCGGTGGCTGTTCTGCGATTGTTTACTAGGCGTAGGGAGAATCTCACTCGTAGCAGAGCATGGTCCGTGTCCACGGGTGTTGAACAGTAGGAGCGGCAGTCTTAAATGGATCTTCTCCAGCGGTGGCTAATGGCGATGTGGTCGATTTGAGTCCAGCGCTGTAAAGAGGTTGGTGGTCTCCATGTAAGGTGGCGTCGTTTCTTGTGTGAGAAGTTGGTGCTTAACAGAAACAGTCCGTGGTCAGCACAAAGTTGGAGTAGGCGTTCTCCATTGTCAGTCCTGTTGGCTGGGATGGCATGTGAACCAGCAAGTAGTCTCTCTGGTTCGTCCAGGGATTCCACTTGAGCATTGAACTCTCCAGCGACTACCACGATGTCTGTTGACCGAGCACTTCGGAGCAATTGAGAGGCCGAATCGCCTGACACACGGACAGTGAAGCGTGAGGATGACGCTGGATCTGGAGAACGCAGGGAGATGATTGAAGTAGGGTCTTGTATGCATGTTTCGGAGACATCATACGTCTACATGGAAGGTTTCAAGGGTTCTAGCTAAGGAAGCTTGTTGACCGATCTGGTAGTGTGCGGATATTAAATGCGGCTAAGTGAAAAGGAGATTTTGGTTTCAGAAATCTGATAGCCTTTGAGTGGTTAAACTCATCAGTTAAACGCTGAATGAGATTCCATGGGTGGCGCAAACAGGATGC